TCCACCATGTTGTTGTCGAAGTCCTCGCCACCAAGGTGGGTGTCGCCGCCCGTGGCCTTAACCTTCTCGACACAGCAGAAGCAGCAACAGAAGCAGCAGCAGCAATGATTAATTCAACTGTCCATATCAAGGGCAAAGAAAGGATAGCGGTGGGCTGCAGCTTGCGCGAGGACTTTAACCTTTATGTGACTACACCCACGAATGAGCTCCTTTCCCAGCTCCGATGACTCTTGAATGCGACATTATCGAACCGAATTGAGCTGTGGATACCTGCGTCGACGAGGGCTCGACTGGACGAGTAGACCGTCGAAAAGGAACATTATAACGACGGGGATAGCAGCACAGCAGCAGTAGCGTCCCCTACACAATGGTACCCGCAGAGACCGGGGTGCTGCTGCGCCGCGGTCTTCCTTTTTTCGCAAGGTTCCTGATCTCGGGTAGGGGCTGCGGCTCTGCTGCCCCGTGTTCACAGTAGCGCTGTCCTACCGGGCTGCAGCAGCCGTGGCGTCGGGAAGTTGGTCTGGCGTGGAGTTCGCGATGGCCAGCAGCTCATCCCAGACAACACGTGGACCCGTCTCGGGATGCCATTGGTGTGCCATGTGCTGCCAAAACTGAGCAACTTCCTCTGGGTCCATGATGATGATGGTAGTGATTGGGTTACTTCTGCTGCTGCTGTTGTGCCTAAAGGTAGAGAGGTAGGAGCGGCAAGGAGACTATCGTCCCCGGCCACTTTTCGCTCACAATAGCAAGGGTTTTCGGGACTACAACTCTGATCACAGCTCCGATCTTCCCCCTCTATCTGTAGTATAGAAATTGATCATTTTGCACGATTTTATTCTATTTGACCCGATATTCAGTTCACGCCCAGCTCGTACAGCAGTCACCGATGAGAGCCCTGATGTGTGTTGGTCTGCGGTTACATACCAAAGATTTGTGTGAGCAAGGGAGTGGCGTGTGGATGCGACCATGTGTACTCGAGTGCATGTGGGAGATACCGGTAGGCTGTGTGGAGAACGGGAGACGGTGGTTGAAATATTTGTGTTCTACAGCCTTGGCCTTGATGTCAGCGGTCTCTTCGCCCAGTTTAGAAAAAAAAGACCCTCGGAAGATCCAGGGAAAACCCAGTCACATCAGGGTTAAAAAGAAACAAAAAAATCTCTTCGTTTAGGGCGACGCTTTGGTTCTTCGTTGCCAGGGTTAGCCTACAAGTGGCCGCCTTGATAGGTCGCAAGTGCCCGTGTTGTTAACGGGGCTTACAAATCGTTCTCCAAGCTCGTCATGTATGCGTTGATATGGTATTGAGCATACACTTGTCGACAGTCTTCAAGTGCGGGCGCTCATATTAGCCGTCAAACAATCGTCCATCTTTCTTACAGGGACTCTAAACAAGACCCATTTCGAATCTAGCACCACGCACCTCGAACACGCCTCCCTCCATGGAGAGCACGCTGACATCGAAGGTCCCGCCCCCCAGGTCGAAGATGACCACGTTGGAGCCCGAGATCCCGGAGTCCGTCGTGTCCTTCTTACCGTGGAGGCCGTACGCCAAGGCGGCGGCGGTGGGCTCGTTGATGATACGGCGTACGTCTAGGCCCTGCGGGAGAGGCGACAAGGCGCCGCATAAGACACACGGAACGCAACAAACAGTGTGTCAGCGGTTTCTCGGGGTAGACGTGGTGTTTTGGTAGAGGGGTGGCGAGAGGGGTCATAACACATCGTGTGAGAAAAGAAAACATGATAACTGCAAAATGCATATGCTGCTGCACACGAACTAGAGGATATCTGCTTGAAACATCGTCAGGGGCGTTTCTTCACGTGACGATGTTTCCACGGGCGGAGCGTTGTCAAACGTGGACACGGGTTAGATTCCCAGCTAAAACACTTTGAGGCACCCTTCACACATGTAACAGTAGCATGGCGACGGGTCCGGTGTAGCTGGGAAGCCAACAGGCTAAAGACACTGTTAAGTATCTTTTCATCGACAAAGGCTTAGAACTTCAGTCAGCTGAGTACGCAACTATTTCATGTTCACTCCGTACTTGGGTGCTCTAATGTGTACATCGCTCAACACAACCTCCCGCACTCCTTCCTAGGTTACGTGAGCTACACAAGAATACTAGTATGCGTGAGAGAGGTTGTACTGAGCGATGTACACACATCAGGGTAGGTCAGGACAGAGTGGACACGGAAGAGTTGCGCAGTCAGTTGTGCAGCTAATTTTGTTAGCTTTACCGATCATGTCAGCGGGTGTTATCGCTACGATCGCCTCGGGATAATGCTTTCGCGATGATGATACAGCTCTTGTGTAGGTCAGAAAGTGTCATGTCTTGAATTGTGGGGCCTGTACGCCACCAGTGAGCATGTTCATGGGATCTACAGGCAGTATTTTGTGGCCGACGATGCCACATCAGGTCCAGCAATGCGGGCACATTCTGTACAGGCGCTGGGTGAGACACCAGCTTATTCCCGCGTGTACAGCGGCATCTTTTCCAGACAATACTCCAGGCACACAGCGACAATACCACCCCCAGTGGTCTACTGTACTGGTTCGAGATAATACTTTAGCGCTCAAACACATCTCGTTCCGCTGTAGTTATATCTCGAATGTGGTCGTCTTTCTGTGCCTGTTTTGTATGTGTTTCCTCGTACCACCAGCACTAGGTGAGAGGGTATTGAGGCGAAAAAAAAAATCATCTGACAACCAATTGAACACGCGTGCAGCGTGCAACAGAAACACGATACCTCTGTCTCTCTCTCTTTCTCTCTCTCAACGCACCGCGATGCGGCCGGCGTCCTTGGTCGCCTGGCGCTGCTGGTCGTTGAAGTGGGCCGGGACGGTTATGACGGCGGCGGTGCAGGCCTTGCCCAGGGCCTTCTCGGCGACGCGCTTGAGCTCGACGAGCACCATGGCCGACACCTCCTCGGGCGCCATCTGCTTCTTGGCCCCGAGCCATGACACCTCCACCTTGGGGCGGCCGTTCCCGCCGTCCACGACTCGGAAAGGGAAGGACTTGGCATCGTTCCGCACTACCTGTTTTGGTGTGGATTGTCACGAAAAGTTACGATTGGTGGTGTTCGGCAACTAAACAGGGGAAAGAAAACAAATTGCGGCGGCTGCAGCGTACGTACGTCCAGCAGATCCAGCAAGGATCGATTGGCACCGACTGCCACCGACAAGCTGCCGGGAACACGCAAGGCGAGCGCAGTAGGATGTGACTGCAACTGCTAAGAGCATCACGTTGCAGAGGGCAGCAGCAACACTTGCACAGCATGCTGCTTCCATCTGCTTCCATCGACAAACGTGTGTGGTGGTGGGGCAGCCAGACGAAGCACAGGTACACCACGTGGGTGTGTTTCGTTTTGGAAAAAAAAAAAATGGACTAGACAATGTGTTGTTTTCCTAAAGCTTGCTCGCCACGACACCATCTATGTTGCCCGTCCTTGCTGCTCAATAAGACCAACACCAGGGGCGCCCGACAATCCACACGTTCAAATGCCTCTTGGACTGAGGTTGTACGGTGCTGCTGCTACTGCTCCCGGCAGAGAATATTCAAACTCCGCCCACACGCGTACCTGGTCATTCCACGACCGCCCGATGATCCGCTTGACATCGTACACGGTGTTGGCGGGGTTGGAGGCTGCCTGGCTCTTGGCAGGCTGCCCCACCACACGCGCCTGGTCGGTGAAGGACACGTAGCTGGGCATCGTCTTGGCGCCAGTGGAGTTGGTCAGCACCATTGGCCTTCCCGCAGCCTCGTCCCACACAGCCACGCAGCTGAAGGTCGTCCCGAGGTCGATACCGATCACGGTCTCGAGCTCACCCTTGGCAGGCTCGTTGACCGACATGTTTTCCATTGCCGCCTCGACCTTCTCCGTCGACCCGTTACCGTTGCTGGCGAGAGCGGCCATGGTAACTCAAGCGATCTAGGGAAGACGAAGAGAGTAGATGATTGCTGACCAGTCCCGCTGGGCTGGTCCCGGCGGTCGAGGGGGCTGCGCCGTAGTAGGAAGCACCCCCGGCTTTGTCAGAATGCTGTTTGCGGTTCCCCTTGGTCAGCGTGGATCCGTGTGCGAGGTGCGAGAGAGCAGTGTCCTAAAGCATCACCCAACGCCGTAGGTGCACAGCATTTTTGTATCCTATATACGCCATCGTTTCATCTGCTGCGTATCATGTACGTTGTTGGTGGCATTCCCCACCGATGTGTGCAGCGAACGCAGTGAGCTCGAGCTGCAACCAAAAGAAAGTTGTGCAGAAAACAACACCCGGTCTCGCCTGGCAGCTGGGCAGCTGCGGCGGACAACCGCTGCTGTGAGCGTACAACAACCATGAGGACCTTATTGAACTCAAATGACGGCCTAGATTTTTGTGTTTCATAATGACAACTACTGCATCAGGTCATCGGTCCTGGCGGTGACCCAGAAAAAAAGACGGATTGAGCGTAGGTACTGCGTCCGTTTGAGATCTTTCGATCTTGTAACTAAAAATAGCGAGGTCTTGTGTGTTGCCAGGACCGGGGCACCAAATTTGCTTGAATTTGCACGCCGCTAGCGAATCAAATCGAGAAATCATAAGAAGGTCTTCGATGAATAAATAATTCACTTGTTTTTAGTAGGAACCTGAGAACGATCTCTGGTGCGAGACCACCTTCCTTAGTCTTCTTCGAACCGTTGTCGTCGCGTGCCACCCGTGCGCCGATGTTGTTCGTCGCGGCAAGTTACTGAGGCGTCAAACTTGCTTTGCTTCCTGGCGTACGATAGGCAGCAAAATTTCCTTCGTCCACATTCGAATTTCACCTTCCGTCCCCACACGGACAACACCAGAGAGAGAGGGTTTCTTTCAAGGTTTATTTAGGTTGCCAACTACACATGAGTAGACTTCTGCGAAGCCCACGACGAGCTCCGTCTTCTGGGCTGGTCCCACTAGAAGGAGAAAGTTCCCTGTGTTGGACGTCCCACATGACACCAAGTGTGGGACGGAGTCAGCAAGGCTGTGAGCCACTCGAGTTTTCAGTTAGACTGGGTGTTACTGCTGTGCATACAAGGTACAGAAGTATCATTTTGAGGGGTCACCATGTTACCATCACCAGGCGAACCAGGCACATCGAATCCAGCCGGAACGTGCCCAGTAAAGCAGCTTTCTCAGTAGAGGCGACCACGCTTCAACAAATCAGTCTAGCACGCGCTTCTGTCGGCTCAACAAGTCTTGACGCCTGTTTCAAAACAATCACAAAGCCCTTGAATCCGCTGTTCAAATTCTACGCCGATCCAACTCCAACTCCAACAGAAGCCGTGTATGTACACAAGAGCAGAGGGATAGCACGCCGAAACAATTCATACTCGTCCACCACAATTCTACGCTTGGAGCATATCTACAAAACTCAAGCCACCACCGCCTCCCGCAGTGACAATGCCGCTTGGTTGCAAAGCCCCTTCATCCACACGATATCCTTCGGCGTGAACGCGCGCGCCCGGTTCGTGCCTACCACGACGACTGCCGACCCCTCCAGAACGGGCAGCATCAGCACTGCCTGGCAATTCTCCGGGAGATAGTCGAACTCGACCTTTCCCGGGAGAGTCTGCGTGAACGGCGTTCGTGTTTGAAGAGAGCAAAGCACTAGTGACGAGATGAGACACGAAGAGAGGCGAGGACGTTGGTCGATATTTGCTCTAAGCCGGTTGCCTCACCCCCCCCCCCGCCTTTCCTCGGCAATCAAGAGCGCTTGCAGAATATACCGTGAACGTGGAAAAAAAGTAGAGAAGCATAGACACGCCCAGAGGGAAAAGCCGCCCGGCATGTCACTGCTGTGCTTGCATCACTGCTGTGCTTACAGCCAGTCTGCACAGGTGTGCCCGCGAAGTCCAGAGGCAAACAAGCGACTTCCCACTCGAAACGAACGGGATAGCTACATCACGGCCGGTCTTACGTTATCTTCACGGCCAAGATGCAGCAATGTACGTGCTATTCGAATATTGGTTTTAGAATATGCCGGAACACCTTCCAGCGTGATGGGATCACAATGCTGAGCCTGGAGGTACCAGCTGCAGGAACCAGAATAAGGCGAATAGCATCACCACGTATTCAAGAGACCGTACGCACGTGGGCAGCCTGGTGGGCACAACCAAAACAAAAACAAGACGGCAAGCGGAAAAACAAACCTGAAGAGCGGCCAAGTACTGTTCCCGCCCATCGCGTCCTTCACCAATGCACTTTCTAAGAATAGGAGCGTCCCGGATGTCGGCGGACTCTCCCATCACCCCAACCCGCGCAAGCGTCTTCCCATCCTGATATACCAGCATTGATGTTGCGGGCGACACCTTTTGCCGAGATCGCGTTTGGGGGGCAGGGGGGGGGGGGGGGGGGGGGG